TTACTTAGATTTTTGCTAGATGAGGCATAGCCTCGAATCACTGATTCCTCATTAATTGCAGATATATCGTCAGGCTTGGTTATGGAACTTTGTTCCTCGCTCTGCGTATTTTTTTTCGTCATCTCCACCAATTACGGGTTTTGATATAGCCTCCGACTTCTGATAATCAAGCTCACTAATTTTCAAAACCAATTCATTTTTTAAATTCGTCAATTCAGACTTGAGAGACGCGATCTCGGATTCTTTTTTTAATATTTCTTCCTGGGTTGAAACTGCGTCATTCTGAGCTGATGTTAATCTACTTTCTAATATTTTTTCCATAGACCGAAGTATTATAATTTCCTTGGATTTTATATCAATCTCAGATTTAAAATTAGCAAGAGCAATAGTTTTGTTAGCATTTTCAAACTGCAGGTTTTGGTTCTCAGTAACAACCTCTCCTAGTTTTTTACTCCACTTCTTTCTACTCCGATCCCATCCCTTTCTTTCTTGATCAAAATTCTCCTCTTGCTCTATATACCTGTCTTGTAATTTTTTATTACGAGAATTTAAGCCAGATATAACTTTTACAATACGAGATTCTTTATCTTGCGCATCGGCCATATATTTTGGCTAAACTATGTGTAATAAAAATAAGATAATCATAAAATTTCCTTTTTTTCTCTCAAGTATTGTGGAACAATGAAGCTCCGCTTCTCGAAAAAAAGATATACAGTCTGCGGAGCAGGACACTTTGTGTCTAACTTGCTGAATATAACTATATAATCAAAAACTATTGTTAAGAGCTTCGCTCATTTTCTTCGAAAATACTAAATATATCTGGCTTCGAGCATATAGTGCGAGAAGGCGGGATTTCGATTAAATAAAACATATCTTCCACCTGAAGTAGTTTGTGAGATAATAAATAGTAGAGGTATGCAAAATGCAATATTGATTTTAACTAGAAAGTATCGCATATCACACAACGTATTTATATTATATGGAAATTGAAATTTGCAGATATGGTGAATAATTAGTACAAATGTTTATACATATTTAAAAATTTTTTAATATTCTAAAACATACACAAATATTTCGAAATGTTTCGAAACATATCAATATATATCAGGTTATAGCAAAATGTTTCGAAATTTTTCTTATTTTTTAATAGTTTATAAACAATAAATACTCTGATATGGGTCGTATTCATAAAGAATATTATAGCGCCAATGCAAGATTTTTATCAGATGAAGCGATCAAAGAAATTAAAACATCATTTGGCAGAGTGCCTGATGCTATTAATACCATGGCAAAAAAACATCGTATATCCTATATTCGGGTCAAAGAATATATTGAGAATCGGGAGCGTAAACAACAAATGATATACTCTCATTCATCTCAGATACAAAGTGAAATTTCTCCCGAAATAATATCAATATCTCTAGATCCGAAGGGTCATTGCGAAGCAATAAATAAACAGACAAAAAAGAGGCGACCGAAGTCCAAATCTGTTCGAATTTCTGATCCAACCACTGTTATTGATACCCCACTCGATCAAGCGTTAAATGAGGGAGAGAAACGAATAGAATATTCAGATTATGTATTAAATACTCACGAAGTGACTACCTTTGGCAATTCTTGATTGGTTTTCTCTTTATTCATAGTTTCGTATTTCGATAGTAAAAGTCTGTTACGAATATTAAGCTCGGTAATGATTTTGATAGCCCTTTCACAATTCACGCATTTTTTTTTAAAGTCGAATTTTCAGAATCTGCAGGAGCATGCCATTTCTCCAATGGTTCATTATCCTCACTCTCATTACTATTGGTATCCTGTGAAATTTGATCGGATATCAAAGGCTTATTGCAAAGCAATGTGACTCCGTCCCTATCATCCTGTGATGCGGTAACACAATTTACTTCAAGTTTATTCTTGACTTTGTGCATGTTTATCGGAATAAAATACTCTTTACCATTACATACGAGTTTTAATTCTCGTTTCGACGCGAGCAAATCATAATCATATTTGTCGAGAAGTGTGTTTGGTAGAATTAGCATCGGCTTGTGATGTTTAACAACAGCAAAATCAGAATGTATAGTACAGCCTGGGGTGAAAGTTACTGGAACATTACGGACAATTCCAATGGATTCAATAGGTGATGTAGCAATTCCACTAAGATCGTGTTTTTCTTTTGTATCGATTATAAGTTTTAAACGTTTAACAATATCTTCCGTGATAATTGGAAAATTTGCACCGGGATCGACTGTGGCCGCCGGAATTACTAATCGTTTAATTTTGCATTTTGTAGTTACGACATCCGTAGCTGGATCTTTTTTTTGAACGAAATCTATCTCCATAGGATCGCCTAGCGTTTCATCCTCCCCATCAGAATCGGGTATTTCTGAGACTGGATCTCGATAATTCGTAAAATCAGGTCTTGTAACAGATAAATTCGTGTTATTAATATTGTTTTTAATCGTTTCTATAACCTCTGGATCGTTAAACATGGCTAGAATAATTTTTCGGATCTGTGAGTCGATAATCGTACTTGATTTCTTTTGTGAAGTACGTTTCTTTGAACTAGACTTCTTTTTTGAGGATAATTTAGATGCATAAGCATCCTTACTTCGTGAGCCAGATTTCTTTACTTTTTTTTTACCTTGCTAATGTTAACATTCATACTTTCAACTTCAGATGAAGACCCCCCAGACTCGGATTCATTATCAGAAGAATCGGAACCAGAATCATTATCAGAAGAGCTTGCGCCAGACTCAGAATCAGAATCTTTAGTAGCAAGATTAACCTTGCCTTTCTTTTTAGACTTGCTTTTGTTAGAACGTCTAGACTTGCTCTTCTTTTTATTTTTAGGGCAGTTGCGAGAATTATGACCTGGTTTACCACACTTTGAACATTTGTATAAATTTTTAACTGCATTTATTAATTTTGCTTGGTTAATTTCCATTTCCTCAAACTGTAATCTCAAATCTTCAACCGGATTATGGTTATATGCCTCTTCAGGTAAACCTGTATCATCTGTTAAACTATCTAAAAAACGGTTTATAGCAAGATCATCCGCTTTTTGTTTCCCTGGACCAGGAGGTTTCTTCAAAGTTTGCCGTCCTTTAGACATAGTTTCCTTCAAACCCGTTAAAATTTTTTTGAAATCTTTCTGTGAAAGCGTGATCTGGTTCTCCTGAGGTTTAGAAGAGATAGTTTGTGAGACAGGTTGAGATTGTGTGAATGCCATGATAGATTTTACGAAGTTTTCTATTTCATCTTTGGTCATACCAGTATTGCTACTTTTTTCATAGGGATTAGGCACTTGACCTCCAGAAGGCGGGAATGGAAAGTTGCCTTGCAGTAGTGAAAATTTTTCCGCTTCAACTAATGCTTTTGTAATATTATCTCTAGTATCATGGTATTTAGCCATCATGCGGACATTGTATTGATTCATAGGATTTAATCCCCGAATATACTGCTCTCTCATTTTTGATTCTGGTAATCCAGCAAGTTTTCCGAGTTTTGATATTCTAGCATTGTACTCAAGTATTGACATACCTCCTTGTGCAATCTGACCAAAGAAAAGCAAATTCTTTTGCGCTTCAACTGTGGGGTAAAGAAACTCAAGACAGTATAAAAATTGCCCAAGAGTCATATCGGGTGCAACAATTGAATTACCTGCACCAGCATTCGCGTAATTGGCTGGAGATGGAGTTCCTATAGGTGCGGGATGTCCTCCAGCTATACTCCAATCTTCATCCCATGTACCTACTGGAATAATATTAGCACCAGTTATTGTATTGTCACCTCCAGCATTATTTCTTACAACTAATGCTTCCCCGAGAAACTGATTTGCATTAATACCTGTTAAACCTCCATTATTTAATGCTCGAATTGCATTTAAGGTGTTCACGCCAGTGCCATCAAGAATATTATCGCATTGCCAGTTTCTGCCTTTTATCTCGTTCTCATACCAGGTTTTTGCTTCGCCAACCATACATGATATAGCTAAATTATATGCTTCTGCTCTACCAGCAACTCCTCCTGCACCAGCTATAACATTTATTCGAGATGCAATTACAAATCTCTTAAATTCTAAGACCCAATCTGATGGATCTTCTCCAGCTTTTCCAGTAAAAAGAGGTGGTCCATTTCCTATCATATTCGATATTTGTGGATTTATAGGTGGATTATTCTGTAAATCTAAAATTCTCTGATTTAAAAAATTAATTCGGTCTTCCAATTCTAAATTAGCATCACGGACGAGCCTCGTTCTAAGCTTCCACTTGCTATATTTGGCGTGTTTAGCTCTCGTCCTATTTTTCCACTTTGTGTATTTAGCATATAATCTTGCACGTGGTTGTGAAGCATTTTTATACCTGTTGCAAAGAATTTTAAGAGCGAAAATTTCAGATAATAATCGGGTTTTATTTTTTGTATAATAGACTCGCCAGAATGTGTGCATTAATTTTTCACCTCTATGGGTTTTTTCCACATCGTCTAATATATATGCGGTAGTGTTTTGCCAGCTCATAGCGTCATCGATAGCAATTCGGGTGTTATCTCTTTCCATCGCTAAATCAGCTTGAGATTGATTATAAAACTGAGTTAATTCGTCTAACCCATATTCGACTAAGTCTTTTAGCGATGAATCAGAATTCCTACGTATTTTATTTCTGATCGATTGGCTGACGGATCCAAATGTTCTGGGAGTATTATTACCCATCATCGGTGATCCTGGTATTCTCGGTGGAGTAGGATTGGCCATTTCTATTTGATTAGGCAATATTTTTCTAAGGCGGAATAATTCTTCGATTCTCGCCTTAAGTCTTAAAATATCATCCTCATACCCAGTTATCTGGTTATTTTTGCTGTCAATAATCGTCTCATTCGACTTGATATTCTTAAGCGCCGATTCAATTGTTTTCGTAAATTTAATATTTGATTTTTAAGGGTTTGAATTTCGTCTTCCTGGTCAAGGATGATAGTACTACGGCGAGTTAATTCTCCCTCACATTTTTCTAAATCCCGTATAAGTTGACGGATTTTTTTCTCATTGACACGATTTATGTCTACCTCGCGATTTAACTCCTCCCGTAATTCGATATTTGATTGTGCAAGTTGCACGAATGCCGGATCTATTGCAAAGCAATGGGACTTTGTCCCTAGCGAATTATTTTTTTCCATTTTATATTTTGAGAGTAAAAAATGATCCAACCTTTGATCAATATCGACTTTGTCTCTTAACTTATCTCTCGACTTTGCTAAACATAATTTTTACTATAATAAATAATATCGAAAATGAGTAGGTTCTTAGTCCATGCTTCGCATAAATTAAGCGCGCCTATTATTAGAATCGATCCAGACGAGGAGCTAAACTTAATTTGTAAATTTCTTTTTTACCGACCTACTGGCTATCATTCCAATGCAAAAGCTTTAAGAGATGCATGTAAAAAAGAAGGATATAATTTCCCGTATAAGAAAATTCGTAAATGGTTGCATAACCAGAATGAATGGCAAAAGTATGCTCCGTCACCAAAAAATACTCCACGGGTAAGTTATGGAAAAATTCAAAAACCAAATTGTGTACACCAGTGCGACATTCTTTTCCTTACGCATGATAAATATAAGGGGAAGACATGGAAAGCAGTATTACAGATTATAGACGTGTCTAGCAGATTCAAAGCGAGTGTTCCTCTCACATCGAAGAATAGTTCAGAGGTTGCTAAAGCATTCAAGAAAATTTATGATAATCCCAATAACCCTCTTACGTACCCGACACTTCTACAATGTGACCAGGATAAAGAATTCATGGGCGAAACTGCTCGATTAATGGAAGCGCATAATGTCACAATTCGAGTAATTGGTGCATATAGCCATCGAGGACTAGCCCTTGTGGAACGCTTCAATGGAACTCTAGCGAAAATATTATATAAAGTCCAATATGCTGTTGAAAGTATAACTTCGAATCCTAAATTAATAAGAGCATGGGTAAAGTATTTGCCAGAAGTCATTGATTACCTAAATAATTATCCAACGCGTCTCATTAGAGCTCCAGGTTTATCAAAATGGGGATTAGCTCCAGCAAAAGCTATCAAACTGGAACGAGTAGAATCTAGGCCATCTACAAAGTATGAGCGTCCGGTTGGGAAATATGAGGAGAATAGGTTGAAGAAAGGTGATACAGTCCGTTATTTGCTTGCTAATGCAGAGTGGGAAGGGGGTATGGAAAATCAGAAAAGGGCTACGGACCCGACGTTTTCACCTTCTTTACATAAAATCCGAAAAATTGTTGTAACGAAAAATGAACCAATTTTATATTATCTCGGAGATGATAACGATGAATACCCCCCAAAGCGTGGATTTGTGAGAGAGGAGCTCATGTACGTAGATTTAGAAAAACTTCAGTATCCGTCCCAGAGTATATTGGAAGAAAATACTCGTTCTAGGTCTGTTAATTTCGTTCGTATTATTAATGAAGTGGCTAAGGCTGAAGAGTATGCAAAAAAGCGCGATGGAAAATGTCTTGGTAAAACTGGTCAAATAAATGATTTCGATATATATCTCTGGTCTTGTAAAAATGGAAAGCATCAGTGGTATGCACCTTATAAGATCCAGAAGCGTAAATTTGAATGGTGCCCAATTTGCCCACACACTACCGAAAGGTCAACTCGATACATTTTTGAGGACCTGCTGGGTAAAAAATTCCCATCATGTAGGCCAAACTTTTTGGATGGGATGCAATTAGATGGGTATAACAAAGAGTTGAAATTAGCTTTTGAACACCAAGGATCCCAACATTATAGTCTTAATTCAATGTTCCATAAGCGAGGCCAGATAGACTTGGAACAACAAAAAATCAGAGATCAAAAAAAGCGAAATATATGCAAGGAACAAGGTATATGTCTTATTGAAGTCCCGTTCGACTGTGATTTGTATCCTTACATTCGCACCATATTGATCGAAAAAGGTTATCTACCAAATACAAATATTGAATAATTACAGTTAAGGAATAAGACCCAGTTCTTGAAGGATATCTGGAATTTTCTCAAATGGGTCTTCATAATACCAAACATATCTTAATGCTATCCAATTTTCTTCACAGAGTTTTTCCTTAAGTTGATCCCGTTCCTGCTGTTTAATGAAATTATTAGGATCGCCTCTATGAAAGAACTCATGATATTTCTCATGTTGTTCTCCTTGTACTTCAATAGCAAAACCATAATGGTAGTAAGGAATATCAAGTTCTAAACCTGTTGTACCTTTAGAAGTTTTTAAAAAGTCAGGTCTGCGATTTTCCGATGGGGGGCCAAGATATTTTGTTACAATTTCTCGGCATAAATTTTCACGTTTATATTTGCTACAATATGGGCACCATGACTTCTTATTTACAATACAATTAAAACTTGAATACCATTCATGATGACTCGAACAACGCCATAATAGTGGAGATTTATTATCAATATATTCTATTGAAAGACATTGGCCATTTCGACTAAGAGCAATTTTTTTAGCATCTTCAAGAGTACGTTTTATTTTACCTATACAATATGGACACCATGACTTCTTATTTGCAATAGAACTAAAATTTGCATACCATTCATGCATTTTTTCACACCGCCATAATAAGGGTAAAGAACTATTGATATATTTCTCAGAGAGACATTCTCCATTTCTGTTATATGCAATTTGTTTAGCATTTTCAAGGGTAAGGTTACTTGGTCTGCCACGTTTTGCGCAATATGGACACCAGTGACCTGAATTTTTTATACTACTAAGCGTTGCCTCCCACTGATGTAATTTTTCACATTCCCATATTAACGGAGTTCGATTATTGGTATAGGAATCTGAAATACATTTTCCATTCTTTTTCAATGCCATTTCTTTCGCTATAAAAATACCCAATCTCTTTTTATCATATCCACAGGTGGGACACCATTTATTATGATTTTTGAGGCGATGGAGAGGGGCATACCATTCATGATTATTTGGGCAACGCCATAATAATGGATCTTTATTATTAGTATATTGAGTAGAGAGGCATTGTCCACCACGCTTTTCTGCAGATTTAATTGCATCAACTAAAGTTAATTTCCTTAGCATTTTTTAATAATCTTGTGATACTTTAAATTCAGATATATTTTCGAAGATCTGCTTGGTAAAAAATTTCCATCATGTAAACCGTCATTTTTGAATGGGATGCAATTAGACGGGTATAATGAAGAATTAAAATTAGCATTTGAATTCCAAGGCATCCATCATTTTCGTGTTGTTCCAAAACATTTTCACCCCAATGGCAAGGCCGACCTAAATTCACAAAGATTATGCGACCAAAAAAAGCGGAATATATGCAAGGAGCAAGGTATATCAAATAATCTCTCGTTATCGAAGAGTTCGTCATATCGTTTTCCATCAAAAGCAAAATAGTTTCCAATACATGACACGACATACTTCATATCATATCCGGGACGAATGTTAAAGGGTTTGGGTAATGTTCTATCTTTCTTATCGAGAATAGTCATAACATCAAAACCAGACATATTTATCGCTTATAGAGAATATTATATTTAGAGGTTTTAGCGTTTTTGACCTACCTATTCGATTTAGCCTTGCTAATAACTATATACTCTAGAATAATATGATTCAATTTTAGTGCGGATGCTCGAAGAGCGCCCCATAGGGCCTGGGTTATTAGATGAGTTGTGTATAATCGTCATATTTTGCGAGTGATATATATGATGAGAATGGGAGAGATGCATATGAATCTAAAGATTCGCCCCTTTGGGCCTGGGTTATATCGAGAATTGATTCTAAATAATTTACCGTAAACTCTCATGAATAAGGGCCCACCATGAATAAGGGCCCCCCTATATGAAAGTGGCGATATTTATGTATAAATCGCTCGTGTACTGTGGATCTATTTTTGACACATGAAATCTATTTCGGGTGTGTGGATAAATCTACATTTGGGATAATCGTTGCATAATCTATTTTGGGTATACTAATTAATTTCCCGGTGTGACTTAATACTCTATTATATACCTAATAATGCGTAACGATTATCCGAAAAAAATGATTATGCTATCAAATTATATTAACACCTTAATATTCGAAATTAGTAAGTAGTCTATGCTTTCACGGTTACTATTTGGATTGAATTCTGATATTTATTTCCCCAGCATCTGAGGCGATATGTTCTTGTATTGACATATTCACCACCGCCCCATTCACCTTCTAAATTTTCCTCTTTATGAACTTTATTGCATATACGACATGATGTTAAACAAGTAAAGTAATCGACATTTTTATTACTATAGTTAAGAGATAAATTAGGAACCTTTTCCAATACCATTTTAATTACATGGTTTCGTTTCTCTTTTGGATCATCGGGTAGAATAGAGATAGGAGGTCGAGATACAGGTGGTTTAGCCTGTGGCTGTGAAGCAATAACATTGGTTTTTGTATCTGAAGGTAATACATTTATCCCAGTTTCCGGTAATACTTTTTTGGTTTCTTCACTCGCCTTGAGTTTCAAATCGATGGGAGATAGATTTACCTTAGTGACTGATATATCATTTGAGCAAGATTGTTCGGTTGTTTGCGCGTGAAGATTCTTCACGCCGATCACTTTTTGACATTCAGCTTGCTCGTTTACTAATTCTACATTAGGTTTTTCAGAGAAAAGCTTTATTATATTTTGGATTTGAACACCCGTTAAACTAGAAATGGCATCAGCACTATACGTAACTTGTTTGATTTTATCTATTCCTATTTCTTTGAATAATGTATAAATATTTCTAGCCTTTTGAGTTTTTTTACGCAAATACTCTCTTTTAATGCCAGGAAGAAATGGTTCCATTTCATTATAAATCTGTGTTCTCGCCATTTGATTGTTAAGTTCGTTTTTAAAGCTAATGTCTATTACCTTTTTTTCGAATTCCTCACTATAACAATACCAACGTAAAATTTCTTTCTGGCCAGTTTTTTTAGCCTTGTCGAATAAATGGGCCAAATGCAATGCGGAACCCGGAGTTGAGTCATCTCCATCTAGCATGTTTTCAAGAATTTGTCTATCAGGTATGGAATTCGAAAGGCTTTTCTCGTTAATAAATGTAGGCTCTTCAAGCCATGAGTGTAACTCGCCCCTACGGGCCTGCTTTGCAATAGATAACTCACATATTAAACCCTTTTCAACCTTTTGATTATAGGGAATTTTTGTTTCGGAAGAAATAGCACTTTGTTCCTGATTGGATGAAGAGATAATAGACGATTTAGATTCAGAAGAGGAAAGTTTTGTATCTTGAATATTTAGATCTTTATTAAGTAATGATTTCTCTGCTTCGGGTATGGAAACATTCTTATTCGGTGATATTGAAATCTTAGGGATAGTATTCTCAGGAGTTGAGAGTAACTCTTGATCCCGAAGCTTCTTCTCCTTAATGTTCTGAATTATCTCTTTTCTAACCGTTTCTCTATGTTTTGAATCCAGAAATTCATTTTCTACTTTCTCTTCCACATGACGTAAGTCGCTTTGCGAATCAAATGATATGGTTTCTGCGGGATGGTATATGTCAGAATTGCCGGAAGCAGTCACTTCGTGGCTAGACGTGTTAGACTCCTCGTTACATGAGATTATCTGTTTAGAAGTATCGTTAGAATTTGTTTCATAATTTAACGAGTTAGTATTAGTATCGATGCACTGGTTTTGTTCCAATTTCACTACTCTGTTTCTAAGCTCTTCGTTTTCTTTTGCTGATCGTTCTAATTCGAATATTCTGGTATTAAGTTTAGCGTCTCTTAACTTTGTATTTTCAGCATCTTCTTTTATAGTTTGTTCTAATTCTACAATCCTAGCTAAGAGCTCGGTATTTTTACTTATAAGTGAATCCTTCTCTCTCCTAAGCTTATCAATTTCGGTTACGAGCCTGGAATTCAATTCTCTCAATGAGGAGTCAGAGATTTGAGTTGGAAACTCATCGTCTTTAGATTGCATGTTTAATATCAATCTATATAATTTTGTCAAAAATGTTCGGAAGAATATTGTATACGTCTTGAAATATTTTTATTGATTTATGCCTTTAATTTCAAATAAAAAATCACGTGCGCGTGAAGATTCTTCACGCCGATCACTTTGCCAAGAAAAAATAAACACAATTGATATATTTGCGAAAATCTTTGTCGCGAGAAACGAAATTTTTCACAAATTCGTCACATTTATTTTCTACGATCTGGTAGTTTTTAAATTATTCCAAATCTTAAAGATAAACTTGGTAATCAGTCATTTAAACAATTGTATTTACTTGACAATAAAAATGCGTTCTATTATAAAATTTTTTCCACATTCAGACTCCTATTTGGGAAATAAAGTTTTTTGTGTAATTATTATGTCCCGTTTTTTGTCTTTTTTAAGAAACATGCTCCGCCATTACTTTTGATCAGCACAGTATGTGTAAAGGTGCGTACGTTGATAGTCGATAATGTGTATTAGTATTAGTATGATTGAGAGATATGTAACTAGTTAGTTTGGATAATAAAGCGTTTGTCTAATGCAATTCTGAGGGAGCAAGTCAACGAATCTCGGCTGAATGGGAAAAAAGTTTGCACTCGATGTGTTTTGTTGTCTATAATTGGTATGCTCACATGGCGACTCCCCAACATTGACGTGAATAAAAAACCGCTATTTTTAGAGATGTTTCTAAGCCATGAGCTCCTGCATTTTTCGATAATGTCAATCTTTAATTGTACTACTACTCCCAATGACAATATAAATATGAATGAATCAATCTACCTCTTCACATGCTCGAAACCTTTCCCCTCTCCCCCCTCACCCCTCACCCCCTCACCCCCTCCCTCACCTCCCACAAATTATACATATATATAAATATCGTGTTGCCTGACGACGAAAACAAAAATCTCTCAAGTCAAACGACACTATCCGATCATAACATTCGCGCCCAAAGAATTATGGATGAATCAAACGAAAGACAAATTTGTTACCTAAAATGTGTTATAAAGTCAGGACGTCTCGAATTTGAATGGTCCATTACTACGCCGTCGAAATGGGACTGGATAGGACTTTATGAGGATAAGAGTAAAGAAAATACCGATTGGCTCAATGGACATTGGTTTTATATATCCAGACACAGCCATTGTGAGATTTCACCCGATGGCCGATATACTTTTACTGGTTCACATTGGATTGGAACCGTATCCAGCCGAAACCAAATCCGATTAAATACATACGAATCTCATAACGTGTATAAAACTTATGCACACGCGAACGTACACAGTCCGGATTTTGCACATTTTGACAAGTCTCGCGTACATTATGTCCAAAAAAGTTTACAACACATATTTGCTCATCACAAGACCGATTGGGGATTTGCTATAAACGATAATTGGAATCGTCAGAATCGGAGAAAACTCATAAAAACACTTACAGAATTTGTTCACAGAAATGCAGATGAAATCAACGTTTACATTGGAACGTATAGAAATGAAAATGCATATCTTGTAGTAGACCCCATATCGTATCAATGTCTTATAGTTTATCGCGGAGGGGAGAGAGATTATTCCATATGGTCTGGATGGATACTCAGCAAAAAGCAATACAGATATATTACAAGTCCACCATACAGCTTAAAGGCGACCGTACTTTTAGTATACGAAGACATACTCGAACAAATTGCCAATTCCGAAGGCGAACGTGATGATTTAATTAAACGATATTTAAAAATATATCTCCGTGATGAGAATTGGTATGACGAAGAAGTATATGATACAAATGCAGACTTTTTTTATCTCGCCGAAAGCTATGTTCCATTGTCATTTGAAGGAAGGGAAGAAATGACTCACAATTACGAACTTGACTTTGAAAAAGTTAGGGAAAAGGCGAGAACGCTTCTGGCAGAGCTTGAAAAGGTTACACATTGAGGGGGAGGGGGGCAAATTTCCGTTAATTTTCATTATCTTTGTTGTTCTCGAAACCATCCGTTTCAATAAAAATTCCCTTCTTATTTTTGTGTATTACGGATTGTGTAAGAAAAACAATGTCCTGTTCTTTGACTCAATTCGAGTATGCTTCGCCGTTATAAATGACTAAGCAATACTGGGATCTCTAAACAGTGGCAAGGATGGGGACAATGACGTCACACGTAATGATAATAATATGATGTTTAACATGTGTTTTTCTGCCTTTCCCTATTACTATTGATTGCTGGCAACGCGTCCTTCTAGCATCCACGTTGGTAACACTAACCGCTTTTGGATTCCACGAAACTCGATACGATGATTTTTTTCTTATAAAAACGTATGGAAATATCATATCTCAGTTGAAATTAAATTTTTGGCCGTGCCAGCTCCGCTGTGATGTGGACCGATGATCACTTACGCTTACTAATCAATGAAAGGAAAACTAAAAATACTGAGTACCATAACATTCCCGGCAGTAGCAGGGTAGACTTTTGGAATAGCGTAGCAAATACAATCAACAAACGATTTAAAACCACCTATACAGGACAACAATGTAATAATAGATTTCAGAATCTTGTTAGAGATTACAACGTAAGCGTTAAACTCTGTATACCACTTTAACTATAACATTCAGCATGATTGCGGAGCCTTTTTTTCCTCTTTATCTCTCGGAAAAAAGATGTATATATATTTCTATATTCCTCTGACTGTATAACTGGCTAAGGCGGGACGCGTAATATTTCTAACGTACTTTTATATTGTCTGTACCTACTTCGCTAAATTTATTTTAGTCGATGTGTCAATACATAGCTGGTAGTAAAACCGGAAAGAGGAGCAGAGCAGGTGAACTATATTTTAAAGAATTTAATTCTCATTT